AAATCAAATCAAATCAAATCAAATCAAATAAGTCTTTAAACTGCCACAAATAGCCACTTACAGGCAGTCCTCATTTAGCAACCACAACTTCCTGGCTAGGTGACATAGTAATTAAGCAATACATCATGTGACTGCAATGGGCTTTACTTTATTACTTTAGAATTACTTTATTCTACTGTGGTTAAGTGATTCACTTGCAGTTGTTAAGTGAGATATCGTGTTATTGTGATTTGTGATTTTACTTCCGCCTTCTCCATTTACTATGCTTGTTAGAAGCTTGTATGAAGTGCACAAATTGGGATCATGTGACGGGGGGACACTGTAATGGTCTTAAATATCTGTCAATTGTGAAGTATCCAAATATTGACCTCATGACTATGGGGTCACTGCAATGGTTGTAATTATGGGAACTGGTCATAAAATTACTTTTTCATCACTGTTATAATCTCAGATGGTCACTGGCAGGGTAGTCATTAAGCAAGGACTGCCTGAACATAGGTATTTTGTATTTCCTAATAAAACCTTAAATGGTGGCCTGTCTGCAATTAATTTAGCTATTAAACCTCTGGAGATGATATGTGTGTCACTAGCTGCTTCCAGGTTCTTATATGAAATTGTGCAGTATTTTTTTTCTGTCTGACATATTTTTATGAACAGTAAAAACAATTATTGGTCATATATGGAAGAATTGTACATTAAAAATCCTGCAAACCTTGCCATTTTAAAAAATCTGACAATGACATATAGCTGTTAGATAAAAATAATAAAGAAGTACCCACTGAGTAGATACAGATAGTCATAAAGAGAGAAATGCATGCAGCTTCAATTTGATGCTATTCAAGAGGTTGATGGAGGACCAAGTATATGATTATTTTAAACAGGAAGATATTTTAAGCTATATTTTTGTAATAATTATACTATATGTAAATATCAAAATATATCAGAACTTACAATACCTCTCTTGTCTGAAGAGTGTCCTTTAACTCTCTTTCTCTTTCTTGTAATTTCTCAATGGTCTTCTCAAGAATTTGTTTTCCATGTAAAGATTCTTGGACTTGAAGCTATTCAAAAAAGAAAATAAATTAAAAATTGGCACAAAATGAATAAAGTTTCATTTTATTACCCTGAAAACCATTCTATTTCTTTATACTGACATTGTAAGTCGTCCCTCTCAAGTATGTGTCAGGTGCAAGGAACCAAAAGCAGCACAATAAACTATTCAGCATAATTACTTTATTGCTGTTTGCAGAGACAGAAATCTTGCCAGATTAAAACACATTCTGCATAACTGTCAGACATATCCTGTGAAGTTTAGGGAGGATTCCTCCTGGGCCTCTTTCTGCAAAACAAGGACTCAAGGCTGATTTGGCAGAGAGACGTGCACCGACCTTGAGTAACAGAATAACAGAGTTGGAAGGGACCTTGGAGGTTTCTAGTCCAACCCACTGCTCAAGCAGGAGACCCTATACATTCCAGACAAGTGGCTGTCCTGTCTCTTTATAAAAGCCTCCAGTGGTGGAGCACCCACAACTTCTGAAAGCAAGCTATTCCACTGGTTAATTGTTCTCAATGTTAGGTAATTTCTTAGTTCCAGGTTGCTCCTCTCCTTGATTAGTTTCCATCCATTGTCTTATAGCAGTTATAGCAATAGCAGTTAGACTTATATACCGCTTCATAGGGCTTTCAGCCCTCTCTAAGCGGTTTACAGAGTCAGCATATCGCCCCCACAGTCTGGGTCCTCATTTCACCCACCTCGGAAGGATGGAAGGCTGAGTCAACCTTGAGCCGGTGAGATTTGAACCGCCGAACTGCAGATAGCAGTCAGCTGAAGTGGCCTGCAGTACTGCACTCTACCCACTGCGCCACCTCAGCTCTTGCCTTCTGGTGCTTTGGAAAATAGGTTGGCCCACTCTTCTTTGTGGCAGCCCCTCAAATATTGGAACACTATCATCATGTCACTGCAGTCCTTTTCAATAGAATAGAATAGCACAGTTGGAAAGAACCCTGGAGGTCTTCTAGTCCAACCCCGCTTAGACAGAAATCCTATATCATTTCAGACAAATGGTTATCCAATATCACTGGAGTAGACGTACCCAATTCCTGCAACCATTATTCTTGTTTTAGCCACCAGACCCCTAATCATCTTTGTTGCTCTTTTCTGCACTGTTTCCAGAGTCTCAACATCTTTTTTATAATATGATCAAAACTAAATGCAGTATTCTCAGTGTGGTCTTACTAGGGCTTTATAAAGTAGTACAAATACTTCATATGTTCTTGATTCTATCCCTCTGTTAATGCATCCTAGGATTGCATTGGCTTTTTTGGCTGTTGCCACATGCTGCTGGCTCATATTTAAGTGATTGTCACTAGGGCTACAAAACTTGTTTGTGTTTAGTGTCATCTGCCAATATGACAAGTTCCCTTTCTACTGCCTCATCTAAATCGTTTATGAAGATGTTGAAGAGTACTGGGCCTTAAATGAAACCTTGCGGTGCTCTGCTGCATACTTCCCTCCATGTAGATGTAGTTCCATTAAGGACTAAATGTTGAGTGCAGTTTGTCAGCCAGTTGGTGGTGATGCTGTTTATCCCACATTTTTTTTAGCTTAGCTTCTTTAGCTTATCAAGAAGTCAGTGGTGGGCTACTTTGTCAACTGCCTTACTGAAATCCAAATATACTATATCCACTGCATTTTGCTGGTCCCCTAATTTAGTTACTTTATCAAAGAATGAAATGAGATTTGTTTGGCATGATCTGTTTTTGACAAGCCTGTGTTTGGTTCTTGTTATCACTTTGCTTGCTTCTAGTGTTTGAACATCTGTTGCTTATCTTTTCCAGGGTCTTCCCAGGTATTGATGTCAGGCTGATTGGTCTGTAGTTTCCTAGATCTGTTTTTCTCCCTTTTTTGAAGATGGGAACCACATCAGCTCTTTTCCAGTCCTCTGGTAGTTCTCCAATGCTCCAGGATCTTTGAAAGATATAGTTTAATGATCCCAAGATCACATCTGCCAGCTCCTTCAGAAATCTGGAATCGAATATGTCAGGTCCCTGTGATTTGAACTAGTCTAGAATGGACATGTGTTCTCTTACCATTTTCTTGCATATTTTTAATTTGTATTCTTAGTCTGTCTTTTAAAGTTATGTTTTTGGTAGGTTGGTCTGTTTTATCTTTTTATACCCAGGATATCAAAAAAGAAGAAGTAGTGGCATTACTTTTATAATTATGAAGAGGAAAGCAAGAACACTAGTTAGCTATAATACAAACAGTGACTGAACAATATTAGTTAGATTTCATGGATAAGCCTTCAATATGATGATATTCAAAGTTTATGCTCCAATTACGGATGCAGAAGAGGTTGATGAATTTATGGCCAAACTGAAATTGACAGAATGTGCAAGCATGCTTGTAGTGGAGACTGGAACGTTGGAAATATTGAGGAGGAAAATGTTATTGAAATGTATGGTCAAAGGAACTGAAATAAAGGAAAGCAATTTATTATTTTCTGCTAATCCAATAATCTTGAAACAACCCCCCAAAACCATAAATGCCTGCATTTGCTTCTCAGCCACCCTTCATTACCCAGATCCAGCAAGATCTTCTGTTGTCTGGATTAATGTATCCTTGAGAGTTATAGCTCCAGACCAACTGACCCTTCTACAGTCTACTCCACTGTAGGTATTGTTCTCAAAATTAATACAACTGAGGAAAAAACTATACCATCTGGTACAAGGAACTGCTAGCAATTAAAGCTGCCTTTGAAGCCTGAAGACATCTGGTAAAAGAGACCACTATACTTATCACTAGAACCTTGAAAATTTTCAGATTTCCAGGAAACTGAATCAAAAACAAATCTGGTCGTCTTTGTTCTTTTCTTCTTTAACTTAAGGCTCTCCAGGAAACTAGAATATGAATGCTCTGAGACTGACTCCCAAACTTCCACTTTCTTTCTTTTTTTTATAAATTTTTATTTTAAACACATAAGCACATAAACAAAACAAACACATAACTTAAAAACAACATAGGAACAATAAGTTCCATCATATATCATACAGCAGTTCCGAATCGGTTTCTTTGCAGTTAGTGTTTTCGGTGCTATACATTTCTATCTTGCGTTCATAATCTCCTTGTTCGTTATCCATTTTTATGTACAATTCTTTATTTATTTATACTTAGTTATTTAT